AGCAGTGTTTGATCCATGGGGTTGTCTCAGGAGGGTGTGGGATGTGTCTGTGAAATCAGGCTGGTGATTGAATATCATGTGCCAGGGCAGATTAGATATTGGGAAAAGTTCCTTCATGATGGGGCTGCCCAGGTGGAGCCAGCATCCCTGGAGGTGTTGAAGAAACATGTGGATGTGGATCTGGGGGCAAGGTTTAGGGGAACAGCTGAACTTGATGATTGTAGGGGGCTTTTCCAGCCTTAGTGATTGCAGGATTCTGTGGTTCAGCCTCTGTCCTTTCTCTATATGAGGTATTTGTTCTTCTGTATGGAGGCAGTGGGAACCACTCAGCTCTTTCAGGCCTCCCTCAAACACAGAAGAAACCAGTGTCTTGGACATTTAAATATTTAGTGCTTTAAAAACACCTAATTTGACTTAATCTAGACCTGAGGAGCTGCACAGCAGTGTTTGATCCATGGGGTTTTCTCAGGAGCTGCCAGGAGGATGTGGGATGTGTCTGAAATCAGGCTGGTGGTTGAATATCATGTGCCAGGGCAGCTCTAGATTAGATATTGAGAAAAGTTCCTTCATGATGGGGCATTGCAGAAGCTGCCCAGGTGGAGGCAGCATCCCTGGAGGTGTTGAAGAAACATGTGGATGTGGATCTGGGGACAAGGTTTAGGGGAACAGTTGGACTTGGTGATTGTAGGGGGCTTTTTCAGCCTAAACGATTCCAGGATTTTGTGGTTCAGCCTCTGTCCTTTCTCTGTATGAGGTATTTGTTCTTCTGTATGGAGGCAGTAGGAACCACTCAGCTCTTTCAGGCCTCCCTCAAACACAGAAGAAACCAGTGTCTTGGACATTTAACTATTGGACTAAATATTTAGTGCTTTAAAAATACCTAATTTGACTTAATCTAGACCTGAGGAGCTGCAGAGCAGTGTTTGATCCATGGGGTTGTCTCAGCAGGATGTGGGATGTGTGTGTGAAATCAGGCTGGTAGTTGAATATCATGTGCCAGCAGCTCTAGATTAGATATTGGGAAAAGTTCTTTCATGATGGGGCTGCCCAGGTGGAGCCAGCATCCCTGGAGGTGTTGAAGAAATGTGTGGATGTGGATCTGGGGACAAGGTTTAGGGGAACAGCTGGACTTGGTGATTGTAGGGGGCTTTTTCAGCCTAAATGATGGCAGGATTTTGTGGTTCAGCCTCTGTCCTTTCTATATATCAAATATTTGTTTTTCTGCATGGAGGCAGTGGGAACCACTCAGCTCTTTCAGGTCTCCCTCAAACACAGAAGAAACCAGTGTCTTGGACATCAGACTAAATCTAGTCCAATATTGGACATTGAAATATTGAACTAAATATTTAGTGCTTTAAAAATATCTGATTTGACTTAATANTTCCCCAGAGAGATTGTTTGCTGTGGGGAACAGCTCAGGTGCCATGAAGGCTTCAGCAGCAGCAGAATGGCCATTTTAAGCTCGTTGTCATGTTGAGGACAGAGACATCACCCCTTCCTTCCCAAACCTGGGGTGGATGATCCCAGCTCATCCCTTCATTCCCCTCTCTTCTTTTCTCACTCCTCCTGGCACAGTTAGTGCCTGTAGCACATCACTGCACAGCAGCCAGCAGGATTCAGTGGGATGTGTGCTGGCCTAATTATTATAATTACTTTTTACTGAACAGTTCAATATGTGGCATTTCTTCCCCTCCCAGTCTTGGTGCAGAAAAGGAAAGAAATCCATGATTGGAGCTGGGGTTTCTGCTCTGTCTGCTCTCTGTACCACTGAAAGAGACCAGAAGGAGAAATATTTGATGTTTTAGGAACAGAGTAAACACAAAGTCTTTCTGTAATGTCACATTTCATGCAGTAAATCATGGTTTGATTGGGTTTTTTGTTTTTGTTTTGTTTTTTTTTTTATATATATATTTTATACTTGGATGTGAAACTTTCCTAGGAGAGTTCTGGCAGCAGAGTCCATGGTGCCACTCAGGGTCTTTTCCTGGCTGTTTGTGAAGGGCTGAGTGAGAGCAGGGCAGAATCTGCCTGCAGCTGTGTGCATTTAGGGTGCATGTGGATCCTATTCCTTCCTGTTGATCTGTAAGCTGTTCCATTGGCTTTCTTTCTGTTTCCTGCTGCTTTCTTGCTTCGTTATTGAAGGGAGGATTCAGACCTATACAGGTAACTCCAACTCCTGGTTCTGCATGGCATCAGTGTCTCCCACCTGGTCACTCTCTGTCAGTGAATGCCTCGGTGTGCAGTGCTCCCCTCACCTGCTGGGCTGGGAGCCCAGAGCCAGGGCCAGCAGTGCCCATCCCAGTGCCCATCCCAGTGCCCATCCTGGGAGCTCAGAGCCAGGGCCAGCAGTGCCCATCCC